CAGTTTTGTCCGGTGGTACCACGATGTACCCGGGCATCGCCGACCGTATGCAGAAGGAAATCACAGCCCTGGCCCCGTCTACGATGAAGATCAAAATCATCGCGCCCCCAGAGAGGAAGTACTCCGTATGGATCGGTGGCTCGATCCTCGCGTCCCTCTCGACCTTCCAGCAGATGTGGATCTCGAAACAGGAGTATGACGAGTCCGGCCCGTCTATCGTGCACAGGAAGTGCTTCTAAGCGACGCAGGGCGCTGCCGACGGCAGCCCGCGGCCCGGCCTGCGGCGGCCGGCTGCTCAACTCAGGCTTGTAATCTCCGTTAATTTAATTGTACGTAAGATATTATTGTAATTAAATCGTAATAGTGACGGCGCGACGGAGCGCGGCGCCGCGGGCGCGCGCCGGCCGCCGGCCTCGGTACTGCACTCGCCAAAGGATCTTTTGTAATCTCATGAATGATGATTGTATGTGCTGAAACGGATAAGACTACTTTCTTACTAGGTCATTTATAAATTATAAAAAATAATGAAAATACAAAAAAAATCTGAAAAATTTTACCTGTCTTTTCTTTACCCTCGATCTCGATTGTATACAAACACTCTGACTGTCGAGATCACTGACCGACATTGACCCATGTAACACAAATAGAACAAGCTTGGGAGCGTACGTCCAGAAATAGTCTCACGTACGTGTGGATTCTGACAGGGTAGTCTCGCTGACAAGATGCAATGTCGCTAGACATTGCATTCTAAATAAATAAAATAAATGGGTAGGGAGGTATTCCCTGTGGGTACATAGAATTGTTTCCTTTTATTCGACTTCAACAAGCGGTGCTGTTCGGTCTTCGAGATGGAATTATAGATAAAAAATATATCATCATCAGATCAGATTAGATCTAAGGAAATTGACGGAAACTTAAAAAAAAACTATGCGTACCTAGCTATTTGGGATCTAACTCGTTATTATATCACACATTGAATTTTGTTATAGGTACCTACATGATAAATAAAAATTAATACACACACAGTGTTAATAAAACTAAGTTCGAAGTGTGTTAGCAAATAATAAGTAGGTACGATCAAATTAGACCGAGTGGCAGTTGCCTCACTGATAAAGCACCACTAGAAAAAAAAATACATTATCTATTATAGATGGAGGCTCTCTAAAAAAACCCAAAGACGTAAGGAGCATGGTTTGTTAAACAATAAAATACACTTCGACGCGGCGAAATATGTTAACGTAAATACTAGAATGTCTTATTTTTCATTATTATTAAAATGATTAGCTATGAACCCACTCTAAGAAACCCCCAAAGACATAAAAACATGGTTTTGTCGAACATAACAATTTAATACTCATATTTGCCCTCATAATTATGAAGGTACCCAACTTCGGGTCAACCTACTAATGATAACCCATTTTACTTTTTAGTGTCAATATCAGAATATTTTCTATTATTTTTTCCCATACGCATACTTCAGTGGTACCTCCGAACTCGATGATCAAGTAAAAGTATTTCATATGATAAACATGCTGCTCACTTTCGGTTTTAACAGACTAATTCGACTGTTTATTTTTTGTATGTGGCCGATGCCACATGGGACAACACTGTGATCCACAAATTGTTGTCGTGAATCTAGGTGTTCTTTATGTCCGTTTCATGAATGTTTATAAGCGGGGGTAGTTTTTAAGAAAAAAATATTGCCACTTTCATTCAATTTAAACTTGTCTGAGAACTATTGGCAGTCAAATTCCCATTTATCACTAACTCAATTTTTTTTTATTAACTCAATCACCGATCAACAACAAAAACTTCAAACGCAATGTTTAGTCCACAAAGGAGAACCCAACAAAAAACTAATTATTTCTATTACTTCCTACTCGTATTACAAAGGTTTCGTCTCTTACGCTTTATACCTACCCTAGATAGATCCGTGTGGTGACGGATTAAGAATACGGAATGTCACCACCCCTATTCATCCCGTGGGTGTCGTAAGAGCCGACTAAGGGAGCAAACTACGCAGGACAACAGCACTAAAGAGAAGGAAAACTTGAAACAAACTATATCAACCCGTCTGGACAGCGTGGTATAGTAGGCCAAAACCTCCTTTCTAAGGAGAGGCCCTACGTCCAGCATTGAACTGTTATAGGCTGTTGATGATGATGAGATAGATAGGTAGATTAATATTGGATAGACATACAGTTACGATGTCATATACTCACGTCGTTTTCAAACATAATATAAAAAATATATCTTCAGCAAGCTACAACGTCCATCAGATTGTCGTGTATGTAGGTACTTACATCTGTGATAGTATGGTATGAAAAATAAATTAAAGGGTTATATTTTATAAAACTTTTATTTGAACATCACAAATATTTTGCACATAATTAGCAGTATCGAAAATCGGTTATTTAAAAACGTATTACAAAATTACCGTGATAAAAACAGTGTCAAAATTCATAAAATATCATAGAATGCAGTGATCAGAGTGCAAGGGAATATATGATGGCGAAACACGATTGTTTTCATAACATTAAACTTTGCATATTATCAAGCATCACTATATATTCAGTTCAATATTATTTTGATAAATCAAAAAACCTCACGATCGATCGATTTGAAGGTGGTTTGAAATTTCATTCCTAACGCATTTTATTAATGCGAAATTCCTCGCATTTACCATTTAGGCAAAGGTTCCTTTGATTTTGATCAATAACATAAATATTTAAATAGAAGGTAATGCGAAGAATAAAATTAAATGAGTGGATATTTTATTAGACCCTAAATTATGATTGATTTCAGTTTATTAAAACAGCTAAAATAGAAATATTACTGTTAGTGGTAACTTTATAGTATAATATTAATGCAACACTAATAGCGAGATAGAAAACAAACAAGTCTTATTTCGAGGGATTCTATATAAACATACAAAGTGATATATTAAGCCCCTATTTTATTTTCGCAGTCACATCTTGCTTGTAACAATTAATATAATTTACACATTAGTAAAACGTAGGTTAAAAAACAAATCAGCACTTACAATACCTAGTCTGAACAGCTTGCAGTTGATAGCAAGCTTGAAGGTATCCCCGAGTTCCTGATAAAATAAAATCTAAGAGCTTTTATTACCGTCAGTATTAGTTATTTATGTATATAATTATTCGAGTCCTTTTATCCGAGCTGTTTTATGGTCTAGTCTTATGTTAATTCTCATTAAGTAAAAATTAAGGTTATCAGTTGGGCCGGGTTTGGAATACTTTTACAAGGCAAAGTTCGTTTTGTTAAAAAAACTATGAAAAATGTGGTGCTAATACTAGATATGTGATAGGAATTGAAAACTGGCAAAATTTTTAAGCTATACAAATATATTTCTAGGTATGTGTTTTAAAAAGATCTTGGTTTAGTAATCCATACTTTTTACCTTAATACGGACACGGTTTGGCAATATAAAATCATTGTGGCTAGTGTAATCATAATATATGACCACACATGGCCCTTTCGCATCAGTTCCAGTGATCATAATTTGATATTAACGCAAGCGACAGTTTAAAATATAATATATAATAAATGTAAATTGATTTAAAACATTTTTAAAACTGTCATTAAAATTATTATTAGCCAATTTTCAGATTCAATTTGGCTTAATTCAGTTGCTTCTGCCGACAGTATGTTACTCGTAGATTCATAAATGTATGCAAAAAAACAAATAGGGCATTTGAAAAGTGCTATGTGCTACGAAAATGTACTAAAAATCTAAGACTAATAAGATTCTCAAGAGTCAGTTATATCTACAAGTTAATTTAGTTTGAGACAAATAGCAACACACTTAAGACATATATTGGCATAGAATTTTTTAAACACTAACTGGACTAGCTCCTTCTCTAAAACTATTACAAACTAAAAACTAGTGTTGATTTAGAAACGATATGTATTCGATAAGTAATAGCTACCAATTGTTTTTCACGAACAAACTTAATTTAACGCAGGTATTGAATTTGTTTGTCTATAACTCGACAATTTTAAGAAAAAAAAAATACATACATATATAGGGTATATTATAAATAAATATATATCAAAGGACTCTTATTAATCGAATACGTTTGTCAATACATCATCAGTGAGACAGTGAGATATTGATAACAAATACAGTCTATACTTTATATTTCATGATTCTTATTATTACTGTTTTATTTAATTTAGCGTATCTCATTGAATCATTTGACAATCTTGGATACAATTCGAACGAATTAGTTAAGATCCTTAGAAGAGATTGGATTATTCTATCATCAAGTTTTTAGGACAGGTCTTTTTAGAGTCCAATAGTTATCAAAATGTAAGTACTCCTTAAAATGAAATAAAACAATTAAGTTGCATTTATCATCTTCTACCTATCTTCTGTAAGCCACTGACTGGTTAACACAACACCATTACAGATGTGAAGAACCCCTTGTAAGTTTTTAGTTTACATATACTTTTAATATTGAATGTCCCTAGGTTCAGATGATAATGGTGATATAGTAACATCTTAATAACTAAGTGTTATTGGTTTCGAAATACAAACTACAATAATGAGTCTAAGCGACAAGTAAAAGGTGACTACTTTCAACACTTTAGTAGTATTTTGTTTTAACAGTATATATCGTTTTTAAACCAACAGCTCAACGTATAATCTATGTTAAAAAATAAGACCTTAATTATCAAAAAAAAAAAACTTAAAAATAACTAAAATCTACACATAAATACAGTTAAAAATTATTTAAAAGAACTAAGCGTATAACGGCGATTGTACGGTATAGAGATTTCTTTATTTCATTGATCAGTAGTCTATGTCATCAACACTTTTTGTACTATAAAGTTATGAATTTTAAAGGCCACTTCACACTACACTGAATATTCTAGGAATGATACTATGCACATACAATTTTGTTGGACGGCTGAAGTTCTTTCTTTTCAATTCCGTGACACTTTAGTTCTTTATGAAAATGTTTGAGCGAATGCTACGTTTCACTGTCTTTTATACTGTCCTCTGTCGCCCTGCGAATGTCTGAGAGAGGGTTTCCGTGGACCCTGAATCTGTAAACGCAAGTGTAAGTAGGGTTACCGTGATTGCTCTCCACTCTCAATTCTATCATGTCGTACGCAACTGGATACTCTACTCCTCCGATGTTCGTCGTTTTAGGATACATCACTGGAAAGTACTGTATCGATGTACCGTTTGAGTCGTACATGTAGTCGCCGAATAGATGTGGTTCCGGATCCATTTCGCCGTGTAGACCCTGGAAGTATTATTAAAATATCTTAATATAAAATCATATGAAATATTGTCGACCGACATAAACTCAAGTCAAGAAAATTATAGTAATAATAAATAGTTCCAAACGAAAATTACATTGTTGCAGAAACAAACAAAAACTGATCGATATTAATAATATTTGTATGTGGGTAAGTGGGATTTTGAACGTATCAAAGTATAGACGATGGTTAAAGATTGCTCCCCTCTTCGGTACAAAGGTATTTAATACATAACAATAAATACTGTATATATCAGACCCAAATGCTAAAAGCTACATGTTTTTGAACTTGACCTTCAAGGTAACGATTTCCTCTCTAACAAAAGCAGTTCGTCGGAGCGATAAGTGTTAGTTCTAAAGGTAACTAAAAAAAGCAATTTACTAATAATTTACCAGAGTAGCGTACATTAACATTAAAATCATAATTAATTTTAGATATAGAAGAAATGTACGTACATATACAGAGAAGTTTCTAGGCGCAGACTCGATTTTTCCGTCAACAGCAAGCAACCGCGACATGTGTTCCAAAGAGAAGCCTGTTACCTCGATGATCGCGTAAGTGCGCACCACTAAAACAAAGACAATAAGAGACACGGTGTAGTTAAAAAAATTCTTAGCACAGTATGACGTCATAAGTTGCTATTCCATACAAGTTTCTACAGGACTTTTCTATGCAAATGCGCAGACTCGTCACCAGCTGGTAAGTGACTACCGCCGTCCATGGTCAACTGCAACTCGTGAGACCCCATGCCCATGACCCCTCCCCTCTCACCAAACTAGGGGGTGAGTTAATTAATTTGAGCTAAATATTTTTTTCTTTAAATTCAGTTCGCGGTCGGTTAATTTCATTCATTTAACGAAAAGCAACTTGCAAAGCATGCTATGCCCAAGCTATCAAGTAGATTACACGGATGGCGTAGTGGTTCAAGCGGTCGCCACGCCGCTTACTACTACGCTGAGTGTTGTGGTTCCCAACATGGGACGACACTTTATGTGATCCACAAATTGTTGTTTTGAATCTGGGTGTTCCTTGTGTCCGTTTCATGTGTATGTTTGTAAAATCCCCCGCGACACAGGATATTTCTTAATGCGGGAGTTTTCTTTTATTTAAATATATAAAAATAAAAGTTTATACTAATTTTACAAATTATATTATATAATAGTTTACCCAGGTATCCAGGGAATCCTTGGAAAGCCCAGCACTCGGCGGGCATAGCGCCTGGGGTCAGCGCGTAACGCGGGGACGTGTACACCCAAAGTACGGGCATACCAAGGATGCTGTACTGCTTCGTCTTAATCTGGTATAGCTCTGTGCATTTCGTGGAGACCACTTGCCCTCCTGTGGTAATAAAAAGTATATTGAGTTAAAAAGTATACGAGATATTATGTACTTGTAATAATCTATGTCTTGTATATGTCTGTAGTCGTAATTCTGTAATCGTGTCCCGTGTGGTGACGGATTAAGAATACGGAGTGTCACCACCCTAATCATTTCGTGAATGTCGTAAGAGCCGATTAAGGGAGGAAGCTAAAACAGCACTGCAAAGAGAAGGAAAATTTGAAAATACCAACCCGTGTGGCCAGCGTATGCCATAACCTGCTTTCTAAGGATAGACCAGTAGTAGACTATTAAAGTCTATTGATGATGATGATGTCTCCTGTGTGCTTGATCATTAATTTTTGAAATTACACAATATTTTAAAAAGTTCATGTCATGTTCAGTGTCATGACTCTGTATTTTTCATTCCTTAATTTTCGACCCTCAGATGTTTTTTTTTTAATGAGACAACGAGAAGAGTGGGGTACTCTTCCAAAAAAAAAAGAATTTTTGTATTCGGTAACACACATTAAAAAAAACTGGTTGATTTTTTTGAAGTTGGTTAAAACACTTTCTCATCTTTTGTTTTCATATCTTCGAAGTTTTTACAGAATAATTCATCTCAGAAACAGAGGGCCTGTACACAACCTTTCGCTTGTTTATAAACGGCTATGGTGTGCGTATTATGTAAATAAAGCCCAGCTATATAAATAATCTGTTCTTTGTGAAAGTTGTCTCACGAGTTTTTTTTTTCTTTTAGTTGAAATATTTATATTACTACTAGCTGACTCGCGCAACTTCGTCTGAGAGTCTCTCAAAAGGAGTAAATTATTCCTGATCTTTGTAAAGTTTTTTACACTTTTGTCGTATAATAAACATTTAACATAGCCCACCGGATCAGCAAGCTAAGTGGCAGTGCGCTGGCCATATAAGCCGCAGGACCGACCACCGTTGGGGTAAACGAGTTCTTGAGTGGAGACCGCGTTTCGGTAAACGCAGTGTAGCAGGCCCCACAGACAACGTGGAGTGATGATTTGCGTAAGATGGCTAGCGTGCAATAAGAGAAGCCTATGACCAGTAGTGGACTGTATCGCAATGGCTGATGACAATGTTGATGCAATACCAAAAATCGAGGTTAATGATTATGGTAAAAACTATCCTATCTTTTAAGTGGGATCAAATTACAGATAGTTACTATATTTAATCAAAATCGGTTCAGTAGTTTCGGAGTTTATCTCGAACATACAATGTATAACATTACTATTTGAGGCTCTCCATACATGGTTAAGTAAGTCGCAGTTAATTTAAACTTTTACAGAGACCTCTCAAGTCAATGCAGTGTAACTTTTAAAAAGCTTACGTTTGTCGGCTTTTACATTTCTTGCCTATTAGGTTAAAAGTGGCTCTGTGAGATATCACAAAACATTCTAAATAATTATGAAAACAAAGAATAAAGGGCAGTCTCAAATATGTTTGTATCTAAAATAAAAATATACCTGCAGACTCTAATGCGTAGTCAACTAAACCGGTTTTGTCAGCGTCATAGACATCCAGCATTCCCGCAACAACTCTTTTCACTGCTTCAATGTCCAAATCCATTCCTCTATGCTCTGTCCTTACTTCGATCTCCTTTGTGTATTCCTTCACTTTTTCTCTTATTATCTCTAACTGCCTCCTCTCAAACACCGAAACGTATTCCTGAATCAACTGACGAACTCTGTCTTCGTCCATACCTTGTTTCCAAGTGCTGGCAACACGCGCCTCAATCTCTAGACTTATGGCATCCATTTGTTCTTTAGAAATATACTCTTTATCGAAATACTGTTTGAGTTTTTCAGCCACAGCAAAAGCGTTGTCGTTTGCGTTAAAAACATTGATCAAATTGTTTTGCAAATGGTTGAGCGAATACTGTTCAATTTGAGTCTCGAAGTTGTTTAATCTTGATAGCTTTTGGTCGAAATATTTCAATCGTGAATCAACGTTCAATGCCCATTGTTCCAATGCTGCAATACGTTTCGTTAAATCTGAATCTTGGACTATAACAGGAGGTTTGTAAGTATCTACTACGATGGTCTGTTGAGGAAGTATTTGATCCGCGTAGTTATACCCTGAAAAGCAAATACTTGTATTAGTTTCAAGGTCTTTCCCTCTGTCCTTCCCACATAATCTTTAGGGGTTTAGTATAGAGAGTGTCAGGGAAGGACAGAGTACTATAATTAGTTAATATTATATGTAGTCAACTCACCTAAAAGTGTAGCGTCCAATGTCCACTTTCTTATAGGTGATTAGGGCTCTATCCTTCCCCGTGTTTTCAAAGGTATAGGGAAGAATTATGTGGGAACAAACTTATAAATCAATAGGGAATGCAAACGACAGGTTACGAGTTCGAATTCCATTTGTAAATGTAATAACAGGAACTCTTTTTTAATACTAATGTAAGGTTAACTAGGATATTAGTATTAGTCTTTATTAAAAAGGGAAACAATAAAAAGAGACATATTGTTTATGAAATATATTATTCATCGAATTAGCTGAACACATCTTAAAGAATACACTATGCAGTTCAATAACCTTTTTTTGCTTAATTCTAACTATGAAATAGTTACCATAATATATAAAAAGACACTATTTGTGACAACTAAATCATTGTGATTGATGTTTGATCACTGGTGGGACTAACCAGGTACGATACTATATATACGTTTTGTACATATCCAGTGAAATAAAATTAAAACCATTTAAAATTATTGTATAAATTAATTAATTATATGTAATAAATACATATGGCAAAAAACAGACAAAAGATTTGTATTTTAATTTAATTTTCAATCACATTTTATTGTAATGTGAATCACTCGGATTTTAGTTCAAGACTAATGTTTTAGTTTAGTTAAAAACTTCAAGTAGTTTATTTATACGATAAATATTTGAAAACATTGTTAGGAGTAACAATACGCATAAATACTAAGTGCAGCAAACATTTATTATTTTAAGCAAATGAAATTAAACATAAAGCATTTGAATACCAAATACAGTTTTACTACTGGCCATATTCGAAATACATATGTGTAAAATTTCCATTAACAAATATTCATTTAATATTTTAACATTTATATAGCTGCTAAAAAATCAAAATATATGACTAGGGTTAGTCTTTTTAATTTAACCAATTTAAACATTAAAATATATTAAAACATTTAATGTTACAATAATTTGTACCAAACAATTTAATAAACTTAAAACTAAATTATATAAATTTCAGTATGGCCACGTCATGACAATTAAGGTACATCAAGTAAGGTAATAACGATAAATTAATAAATTCAATATAACCATTTTGATCAAGTTATTTTCTATACATAATATATTGAAAATAACAAAATATAAATGAAAGAAATAAATTATTTCAGGGGACTTTGACTTGCAGTCAGAAACGCAAATTATTGCCAATATTAAAAATAAAACTTTGCATTTATAAAGAAAAATGTTGTGCTATACGAGACTAATCTATTATCTAATCACAGGTAAATATTAAATCATTCCGTACATTTAGTAAATACAAAATGGGATTTAATATTGGGATACACGACGTTACATAAATGCTAAAAACATCGGATTATCCTATCTCTCACTCAAGAAGAGAGTAATATTTTAAATACAACTTTTTATCTGTAATATAGAGTACGAGGCCTTTAGAGGCATAATAAAAAAACATAATAATTATTTTTTAATTCAAAAGAAAATCTGTTGCGGAATGAAAACAAGTACCTATTATAAATATAAATAATTCCTCCTTATACATATATATATTTCAGTAACATGTTTAGTAGATAGCATTATTAAATAAATATAAAAAAAACGTATCTGCAAATATTATAATAAATTAATCACTTTTAATTAAATATTTTGGACATGCACATATTATTATGATAAAAAATATATAATGTTTCAATAAAATTATCCAAGGAAGTTATAGCGATTTAGACTTCAAACTTTAGATTGGCTGATTTCTATTATAGAATGTTAGAATTGACAGTCCATTCCGAATTATTTGTCATTAAATGATTCGTTTAATTTTTCATGTCTCAGACAGAGACAGTCAGAAAAGTTAACTACTTGCAATATTTTCAAAAAGGAATGCGACATTCAACCAGCACACGCTACTAGACAAATTCGTAATCATTTTATCATCATATGTGCCTGCCATTTTAAGACTTAATTATGTAAATAAATATTTTTTTACATGTTTTAAAAATTAAAATAACCTCTGTTTGCAATCTTGAACATATCACAAAAATATTCAAATAACCATTGTTCAATTTGATAAATAAATAAACCGGTTTTCCTAGTTACACAATAATAAATTAGAGTGGATATAAAATATTGAGCGCACCATATTATATCTAAAAACATCATTTAAGTACACATAATATGTTGCAAATGTAAGACTATTGTCACATGAACGGCAGTAAGTTTTATAAATTCGTTTTAAGTTCAGACATTAAGTAAGAAAAGACTTGACTTCGTATTTATATTTGTATTCGCGGATCTGAGGTCCAAATGAGAGTTTATTTCACATCTACTTGATCGTCACGGTGAGAGCGTTTCGTGGTGCGATTGGCCCGCACTGAAATTTGTACCAATCGCAACTGCGAACTCGCTCGCCGAGAGAGAGTTGATGTAAAAAAAATTGCACTAGGCCCTCTGAGGCCCTATTTTGAGTTCATTTCACTCGATAGTCACGGCGAGAGCGTTCAAAGTTGCGATTGCTGAAGATTTTAGTGCGGGCCAATCGCAACCATTTTAGTGAAAATAAAAACGTGGTGGTATTTAATGGCTGTTTACTGACTTGCTGTCGATGTGAGAACGGTCTTACAGGCATATAAGGATGATCATATGTGATATGTTTATAAAAACTAACTGACATTATGTAACTAGGTTTATATATTGCATTTAAAATTAAAATCACAGACATGTTTCACATTTTAAGTCCTATATAATGTAATCCCTTGAAGACTAAAAATATGAAACTAAATGTATGTAGTAAGTATTATATAATCGTACACCCCTATACTTATCAATGAAGTACAAAAATATTGAGCGGTTGGATAATCCATTGATACAAGCGACGTATTAATAAATACTGCAGGTGGTCACGGAGGTGAGGGGAAGAGTTTTATTACATTTTTTAATCTCTCTTAGTTACTGTTAAGTATCTAAGAAAACCCTTTTATGTATTTACTAGTGTAGGTAGTTTCAAAAAGCAATTTAATATACGCCATTATTACAGATATATTTGTGAATAAATAACTAAAATAGGCCTATTACAAGGTTCACACTGGACTATGTGCAGATGACGGACAAGTTGTTCAAAGCGTCCACATGCTCTGACATGCAGTTAATTCTTTTTTCTTCTCTAAAAAAAAAAACAAATCCCTCACTAGGAACATGTGTCGCGGGGGACTTAACACGAAACGGACACCAAGAATAGCCATTGTGTGACTTTACATGTCGTCGCTGCGCTTGCCTACATACATACATATTTCTTTGTTTTTTTACCACTTTAAATCATTTCCCCTGAATTCACTGTATTCATAAAATCGTTTCTGTTAATCAGTTCATAAAACACAGCAAATGATATGAAAATTATTTAAGTGCAAAACAACGAAATAATGAACAAATAAAATCTGGTAGGCGCAGAGACAATATTAAAATTAAAATTATGATGACACGTTATTATAATATAATGTAGCGCCGTCAAAACTTAATAAGTAAAAAATAATCTTATTTTATTGAAATCAGTTTATAATCTGTTTAGTTCAGTAATGTAAGTTAAGTACCATAATGTTGTATGCGGGCAGCACAGGACCGTTTTTTGTGGGGAACATTGGGGGGAGGACGGGGCTATGTCAGCAGTGGACGTCTTTCAGCTGAGATGATGATGATGATGATTGTAATAACTTTAATATGTTAATATTTATACTTCTTTTAATCAGAGATGTAAGGAATCTTATTTTATCTTATCTTAATCTTATCAGATTTATTAAAGATAAGTAGACGGTTTGACTGACGCTTGTAATTCGGCAATGCCTGGCTAGTTTCGAACCTGATGGGGCTTGTTTTTTCAAGGAGTTTATACTTTCCGTAACAATATACACATGAGTACAACTGTACATAAAGTATGTGTAAAATATGAACACTACTCAAAAAAGTTCTAATATTCTTCTAAAATCTGCTCCTTGCATGCCAATTCCTTATATCATTCATGAATACAGTCGAGGAGAAATGTTAACACGTCTGCACATAACACCGTGTGTACAATTTACCTCAACTAAATATGATTTCATTGATAAGTATAAGGTTTAATATAAATCTTTAATCATCCTAGTACTCCGCGCCAATATCGTTGCATCTCCTCAAAACAGCTTTCAGCTACCACTTTCATATAATCAGAAGCATCTGCAACCCTATTTTGGACCATATGCTTATATTCCTTGTAAGTTTTCGTGACTTCTGGCAGGTTTTCGCTGATGTTAGGCAATGTTATATTCATGTCTGGCATGCTGATCTTCGGAAACATATCCAGTGTCGGTAATGTGATGTTGGGAAGAGATATCTTGGGTACTGCGGTTGCGAACTCGGATAAATCTAAGCGGAAATCGGTAAAGTTTGGCATAGCGACACGATCCCAGTTTTCGTATGTGTAGTGAGCTGTAAGGAATTTGGAGGTTTACCTATATGATTTACACACTTTTGGAAATTGCGGTTATGGGTAAATCAATTCACATATTTCTTTCTTACAGTTCTACATATTTAAAGTATGACGAATGATAATGTCGGTTAAATAAGAGACAGCAATCTTGTGGAATTGTGCTTTAAAGAGACAAACCAATTACTGAACATAAGATGCCAGAATTCACATTTTAAAACAAGCTAATTCATTTCAACTGTAGTGTTTGTACCAGTTCTATATATTCATAAATGCAACAAAAATCTATAAAAAAAGAACTGCTCGTAAGAAAAAACCTTCCACCCGCAGTTACTCAGTTCGACAAGAGTGCCGAAATATCGAAAACTAATTAACATGATAAATATCCCGTTTATAATAGGTTATCGAGTGAGAGTAATCATGGTAGCTTAAATCAATACATTGCATTTCTATCTAAAATTGACTGTCATAGATATATTAGTGAGTTATACAATATCACCGATCTGACAGCCTGCTGTCGGTCCGTGTAGTATTAGCTTAATTCAAAACAATCATTCTCGTGTCGTATATCGTCGGTTGAATCTAGAAGCACCTCTATCGCTGAAGCATGCCATCATATTACAAAAGAAACCCCATCAGTATGCTCATATGCCCCCGCGTGTATGTTGGTTATCGCGGTAAAAAATTGCCTATGCACTTACTGAAGAATCAAACTACATCCATACCAAATTTTACCTTAAAGGATGATTTATGGGATAAAAACTATCCTATGTCCTTTCCCGGGTCTCAAACTATATCTATACCAATTTTCATCTCAATCGGTTCAGCGGTTTAAGCGTGAAGAGGTCACAGACAGACAGACACACTTTCGCATTTATAATATGGGTATTGATTTAACCAGTATTACAAAGCAATAGAAATACTTACATCCATATGCGACGGCTGGCAACAGCAATAGAAGGAACCATGGCCACCAACGACGTTTTACAACGGCTTTCGCCTGGTACCGCGCTGCGTATTTCTCGTTTTGTTCCAAGTGGTTTGATGTTACCTGTGATGGGTCAAACAAAGGTTTCTGAGGTTAATGAAACTGATATAATAATATATCATCTATTTTGTACTAATTTGACTGATGTATTTGGATGGCGTTGTTGTGAGTTTGAGACCCATTTGGTACAAAACTTTTTATGATCCACAAATTACTGTTCTGTGTCTGGATCATCTTTGTGTCCATTTCGTGAATGTTTGTAAATAATTATATAAATAATAAGAGAGTTGTCTTGAAGAAAAAAAAATATTTTCAAGCGACTAAGGGTTTATTTAGGCCCGTTGTTGAGTTTAAATAGATAGATATCAAATAATTCTTTACTAATTAAAGTATACATATAAATGTAGAACAGATCGTTAGACAATACAACTGCACGGATGGCGTAGTGGTTTAAGCGGTCACCTCTTCGCTTTCTACTGCGCTGAGTGTTGTGGGTTCGATCACACACACACACACACACACACACACACACACAATAAAGTGGGTCGTTTCATGTATGTTTGTGAAGTCCCCAGCGACGTATTCCTATGTACCTAATGCGAAAAGAAATATAAAGTGCCAGCTGTAAAAATTGCTTTCTGCAATAAGGTAGCTAGTGCGGAAGTACCTTAAAAAAAATTTACTAGACATTTTCAAATCTCACTAGATTTACGTGAGGTCCAAGTATCAATATTTAGGTGGGTGGAGACGTGCTGTGGCAACGTAACACACACGCATTTTTCGATGTTTAAAAACAATTAAACATGACTTTTGTTCATATTAGATACATAAATTAGGAATTAATTGCAATAATATTTAGAAATGTATGGGTAAGGTACGTTTTATGACTACAAGACATTTCGTGCGATTTGCGCCGATAGTCCCTACTATCGACGCAAATCGCACGAAATGTCTGAGTGAGTTGAGTGGCCCATACAGTTTTTTGATTGATTTGATATCTTCATACCAACATGTAAATGATTTGACAATAGCTAGGTGGTATGACGTCATAGTATTTCATACAAAAATATACAGCGTCTATAGTTTTGACTTTGAATAGAAAGATGCTGATTTGACCCTGTTAGTGCGATTCGTTGGCAGGCACTTTGTTATAAAGTAAATAATGCATCACTTACAGTTTCTGTCACAGTAGTGACAGTGGTGGTGATGATAGTCTTGATAAGTGTGTATAACCAGGTAAAGGGCGCCGCCGCAACTGACGCCGACCGCGACAGTAAGCTCGCTAAAAAGAAACAAGTTTATATTAAAAAAAGAACTAGCTGTACCTTGCTACGCTTCGCTACGGCACATTGGGTTGTATTGATGAGGAATTAGAAACAAAACTAACGCGAAAAATGGATGAAAATAGTTTTTGAAGCGGTTTGTATTTCGTGTCAAATTTTGAACTCAATCGGTGCAGAACTTCTTGAGTTTTTGAAGCATACACAAACCAACTTAAATATTAATTTAAAGAAACATGAAGACAGAATACACAGACATTACTGGTCATGTTTATAATAAAAATATTTAATCTCTTTTTTTACTATATATTATACTGAGTGCAGTCTCCTATGCAACTCTTTTCGTACTGCAACCTACTGTCAATTTGAATTGGTCCTTCCATCTTTTGCGTTGTCTACGTCTATTTTTACGATATATAAAAATGGTCCATATACTTAGCAATACACGAAGTATTTAGCTGCCAAGTAGTCACATACCTTGAGCAGGTCTTCGATCAGTGTATGGATACCGGTGCGAAGGACCTACAACTTTCCTATACGCGTTGCTCGTAGTTGTTGTGATAGTGGAGATTATTGAGATCAGTAGTGTTGTGATCCACCACCGCTGTTCCGCAATGTGATAGCCTCCTTTGTTAATGTATTGCGTTTCATCATCCGAACTTTCTATGGACTGTGGAAGTAAAATAAATAGGTACGATAAAAGTGTTACTATTTAAATATATTATTATTATTATTATTATTATATTTAATACACTAGCAGCTTAAGGCTGATGCGTGTATATCATTACACTTGTGCATTTAAATGTTTATCAAGTCTATTTTTAAAAATGTTAATACTCTGGGCACCTATCACAGTTTCCGGCAAAGAGTTCCACATATGCACTACTCGGTTAGGCAAAAAATGTTTTCTTGGATTACTAGTACACAGGTGCTTGCTGAGCTTCATAGAATGACCCCTTAGCTGCTTGTTCGGGTTCATTGTGAACATAGATTCAATATCTCTCACGTTGTAATGGTGGTTGAGTATTTTGTAGGTTTCTATGAGGTCTCCTCTCATTCTCCTCTGTTCCAGTGTTGGCAATTTGAGTTCCAAGAGGCGTTCTTCATATGATACGTTTTTTAAAGAGAAAACCATTTTGGTTGCCCTTCTTTGTACCCTTTCCAACATCTCAATGTCCTTTTTGAAATATGGATTCCATATTTGGAAGGCGAATTCTAGCAGAGGTCTTATGTATGTTAAGTAGATGTTAAGAAACAGCTCCTTGGTAATAACATAAAATGCCTTTCTTATCATGTACAGCAATGAATTCGCCCTTTTTGTTATCATTGTGATGTGTTCATCCCATTTAAGGTTATGTGTTATGATAACTCCAAGGTCCCTTTGTGAGTTTACTACTTTCAATGGCACAGAATCCATTGTGTACTTGTATTTAGGGTTATTATTACCGATATGTAGTACAGTACACTTAGATGTATAATGATATGTTAGAAAAAGAAAAGAATATTAGAAAACAAAAGCTAAGAATAGAGACAGATAGTAAAACAATGTATACTATCTATTGTCTGCACTACGCTATGTATTTTTTTCTTATTCCGTGTTTTTAACTTCATCAACAGCCTATACTAGTCCACTGCTGGACATAGGCCTCTCCTTAGAAAGGAGGTTTTGGCCTACTATACCACGCTGGCCAGACGGGTTGGTATAGGGTTTGTTTCAAGTTTTCCTTCTCTTTGCAGTGCTGTTGTCCTGCTTAGTTTGCTCCCTTAGTCGGCTCTTACGACACCCACGGGATGAATTGGGGTGGTGACAATTTGTATTCTTAATCCGTCACCACACGGACAACGTTTTTAACTTAGAAAATTACAAACTTCTATACAAGAGTTCATCCCTTATTTTACCGCTTTGGGGGATACAATTTCCAAAAATCTTTTGTTAGTGAGTGCTCACAACGTAAAAAGGACCAATATGCCAAAATTTCAAGTTTGTAGCCCTCAGCGGTTAAGGCTCTGCGTTGATGAATCAAACAGTCAATCAGTCAGGGCAAATAATTTAATATGTATTACGAGTACTATACATATAAAATTATTTTCTGTGTAAAAACAAAAGACGTCATCAAGACCACCTAGGTTTGTCTTCAACTATAAAACCACACAGTTTGTAATCACTGTCAGTCTAAGGAACACCCTCGTGTCTTGCCCATCAGGATACACCTACAACTGAATAGGATAAGCACAGTAATTGAAAGGCTGATACTTACTGTATACCGCTTCCGTAGTGTGCCGGTCGTCCAGGATGTAGTAGCAGAGAGGCGGTCGATCTCGTCCACGCTGGTGTTTGGACCCTGGATACGAAATTGGGACAGCGAGCGTCGCGACATGTTCGGCATGGCTACTTGACCAGGTGCCAGTTCTACTCGATCTTTTGATAGCGGTGAGTACGTGTAGTCCGTCTTTGGGTATTTGCTGGAAAGAGATGGAGGGAGGTTATAGAAAAGCTTTCGTTTACTTTTGATGGCTGAAGTTTTTCACTTGTGTATCATGCATATATTTATGTAATAATCTGACCATCGTTGGTCATGGTCTAGTGCCAATAGAGATACCTGTGCCATACATATTATTATATACCTCTCCAAATTATCTAGATCGTTTCTCAACTGTATTAATATCATTTGGTGCGATTAGGTTCAAATACAATATAATGCCGTCTATTCTAATAAGGTCAGTATTTGATGCACATTAGACAGTGTTTGTGTAACATTATACAAAAATAATAAACTGATTATATAAAAAAAAAAGGGTAAACAAAAGAGATTTAAAAATAAAAAATCTAAACATCTTTATATAACATATTATAACAATAAAAAATATATATTTTATGCCTAATTTAAAAGCAGTTTAGTATCATTTAAAATATTTCTACTTTCTTTAACAAGCTGTGATTTGTAAAAAAAACTTACTATCACTATTTTGGAATTAAATCATGTGTTCTTAACCTTACCTTATCAGATACCGCATTCCCACGAGTACCAACTCGTGGGAATATTGTACATGATAAGATTAACGCTTCGGAGTAATTGCTGTTTGTAAACTGGTACACACCAGAAGTAAACCAATTACTAAACAGCCCACAATAAAGCAAGGAATAGGTTACAAGTGAGTAAACAAGTAACATTGCAACACAACACATCTAATGACATTTGCACATATCAGCATCATTATAGTCTCAGCCTAAAGATGTCCACTGCTGGACATAGGTCTCCCCACAGGTTTGCCACAATAACCGCTCCTGTGCTGCCCATTTGGATGTGGCCACTAGCACGTATGGCTGTACATCCGTAAATGTACTTGATACCTTCATACTTGATTGAGTGAACTACTCGACTTAAATACAAATTGAAACACTACAAAATCACAAGTCCTCCATTTAACTGCTGCCCGCCCTTTGTCATTACCTTAGGAACAAACAGAAGATAGAACCCTTTTTGCCACTATCCTGACATATCCGTTCATAGCCTATCTGACCATAACCATACCTCTCCTTCAGAGATTTCGGGCTTCGCCAATCAATCAGATCATCACTGCTTAAGCCTTATAATTTATTTAGTCATATCGCTTTTTACTAAAACTTTTAATATGCCCAAAGTAAAAAAAAACTCTGCTTGTAAAAGAAAATTCTGCAAGAATTTAAAAACCTTGGTAACTCAAACTTAGTATTTGTAACGTCAATCAAAGTACGTTATTATTAATTCATCACATCACCAGCCTTTAATAGTTCACTGCTGGACATAGTATTTAAATAATTGGAAGATAATCTTTGTGTAAATAAACTTTAGCAGAATAAGCGTAACGTTTCAAATAGATCATTTTTAATTTTATGGATTATTCATAACAGCGTATGTAATGTGTCTTTTATATCATTTATATGACATAATTAGATATTATTGTAATGAACAAATTAAACAATTGTAACATAAATTTTAACATACCACGCTCGAACCACTTGTTTTACACACTAAAACTGTAAATACAAGTTAATTGGCTACATCTATTTATTACATTTTCTAAAATTTTAGTAGCACTGCTTAGTTGAGCAATGCGTTTAGCGTTAGTTGGCATTTGCAAGACGCGCCATCCGACTGCAAATATAGAACATAATATCTAATTTTATGACCGTAGCCCTAGTGTGGTTTGTTAGTCTGTTTGTCATTTGTAAGACACACCACTTCTTAAGATAAAAGATTGTTTTGGACACGCGGAAATCGTTAGTATGGAATGTTTGTTTTATAGTCAGGTTGCTCGCCGACACATGGCTTTGTGGGCTTAGCGTGATGTTCCCAAAATTTAAGCGCTTTTAAATAGTTATAACTATACTAAAATATGTACCCATTTAATGGATAAATAAGTGTAGCTTCGGTTAAAACAAATATCTTCAAAAGAAATGACATTGAAAAAGATCGAACAAAAAGATTGATGATTTAAAAATATATATTTATCTCGCTTTCAGTTAAATGTAACTAAAAACAAAAGATATTAAAGACAAGGAAAGGTCGGTTAAAGTCAAATTGCAACATACAAAAAACAAAAAAAACATACCCCATAGTAAATTCTCCTTCTAAAGTTTGCACTTCAGTAAATGTCAGTACATTAGTCATGATTACAATTATGAATAATTAAATGTCTACAAAAAAGATAATTAAAATAACAAAACAATTAAAATGTAATTATTCCAGCCGGCTGGTCTTTGCAACATGTGATTGACAGTTGTAATTTTAAATATCTCACTGTACCCACAAAACGAATATAATTATGTCACATTCGAGTTCTGAGTTTTTATACAACCGTTTTATACTGTTCAGGAACGATAACATCAACTGTTTTTTTTTTATCAATTTATTATGTGTTATACAATAATGAATCGCCTTATTTAAATAGCTATGGAAACATGGTCATGTTTTATATATTATTACTTCAGTTATTACAATACTGTGTTTATCTTTTTTGTACGTCCTTCGAAAAATCCTCCACAAAGATTCCGATTACGTGTGGATATCAAGATAAAAAGTAAGTTGTGTTACTTCTGGATAGGGCTTTCTAACATGAAATAATGTTTAAATTCGATGTAGTTGCCCTGCTGTAAAATATTGACGTTTATACAATTTTTTAGATCTTAGGATAAATTAGTGAAATTGTCGTTAGGACCTGTTATTTAAAAATAATACAACCATGTTACTTGCTGATAATGTAGCTTTCTATAATTAAAATAATTTTGAAATTCATTTAGGCCCTTTTTATTCAGCCATTAGAAACAAAAATTAAAATTCTTTATCTTAGTAATTTATTTACTTTAGATATGGGTAGTTTCCTTAATCAAATTGGAGTTCAAATACCGGTTTTTTTCATAGCTCAATTTTTTTTAATTAGTATTATAAAATAAACCTCATGTGAACTATTACTGTAATGACATTATCTGTTTTAAAATTTAAAAACACAATAATATTTAGTAATAGATACGCAACAAATTTAAACAAACCAATAGCACACAGGTAATGATAGTAAGTTAACCAATGGCTTCTGCACTCGAAACCTTTTAAATTAATTAGGCTTATCTTTATAAGCCAGCGTTATACATGGACGTGTTAACATTTTGTATGAATATTGCGACCTACTTATATTCCGCACCTGTTAGCTCATGTTATGTACGGAAAACAAAATGTCCCATAATACTTTAAATATTACTAGTATTTAGCAATATTTAACTGTAAGACAACTTTTTGGAATATATGTGTATACATTATATTCCAAATTTTTAGCATGATATTATAAATATAAATCTATACTAATTTTATAAATACGAAAGTATGTCACCGATTTAGATGAAATTTGGGATGAAGATATTTTGTTTCTTGAGGACATAAATAGGGTACCATACAACATTACATAAAAACACAATGAGAGGGAGGGGAATGGGTCATTATGTTGTTGGATACATCAAATGCAACATTCTTTTTATACACGTTATCACGCTTTTATTAGGTTCACTTTGAAGTAACTTGCTTATTTTGCATCCTAATGCTGCTCTGATGATGGAGTCAGATGGTGGTTATGAAACTTATTAGTCTCTATTGGGAAACCCTCCAAGTTTGGCATCTGTCATATGATTCGTTTTGACAAGTTAGCAGAGATTGGGTTTTGGTAACGATGATAAAACATAAGACCATACACTAGACCATAATTTTATTATAGGTTAAGTTAATAAGTAACCGGCATAGATTACTTAAATTTTAATTCAAATATCCTATTTTTTTTTTAATGGAATAGTTATTTGGGAATACGTTTTGTCTTACGATAATAATTTATAAATAGATTCACGATGTATTTTAATAGCATGTAGTGGTGGTCAGTGTCTTATTTATATACATTAATAAAATAAATTGAAGAATATTAAATAAATATTATAGTACGATAGTAGTATTATAGTATTGCGTATAAGTTTGGTTAGCGGTTTTGTTGGGCTTAATACCCACGACGCGTCTATTTGATAATCTACTAAGCCAATTTTCCCCAATAGTGCTGAAGCTCGCTAAGTACTCGTATAAGATACGTTAAGCGGCGGTAGCCTAGTGGTTAAGGCATTGGACTTGCGATCAGGAGGTCGTGGGTTCCTGACCAGTACACTACCGACGTGAACCCACTCGTGACACAAGTAATTTAGCTTAGCGGGAGGGGTTAACGGGAATACTAGTAATTTCTGTTGCTACTAGACCTAGACTAGATCTTTATAGTCTGTTGCGTAGGGTTTAAAATTAGACTAATGTATTTCAGTTGTGCATTAGTTACATAACTGTGGACCCCCAAACTGACATGTGGTTATTGTAAAATAAAAATATTTAACTGAATTTCTTACTTCCAATACTCGCGCGCCATCTTGTACAATCTCGACGGGAGGTGCTGGCTGTCAGGGTTCTGTTCCAACAGCAGACTGGTATCGGCCAGCGCCTGCTCGGCGAACGAACTGTCTGTGGAACATGCGCTGTAGGCTGGACTTCCTATACGAGACCGGGACCTGGTTGAAAGAAAATATATGAAAACGAGAGGTTCATTTACTATGGAAGAATACGGCGACCTTGATGGTAAGAGGTTCTAAGAGATAACGAAAACATAGAAAGTTTAATTTTATTGTATAGATCTTGGCATGTTTCCAAAAAAGCAGTCATTGCAACATTATTAGTGAACTGTGAGAAGCACAGCTTGAAGTATAAACTTCAAATAAGAGCATGTAACTACAATATTACGTGAAGGTTTAACATATATTTGAATGTGTTAATTATATGCTTACTAGTAAAAATACTAAATGAATCGTTCCTATTATATAATCAAACTAATTCTAAGTGCTGTGTGGTGATCAACAGAAGGGTAAATAATCCATCCGTCTCTCCTAGATAAAGGTTTTAAAACAATTCATAGGCTTCCCGAACCGTCGAAGCCAAAGACTATTTAAAATAACGTTCATTAATGAAAGTCATTAAGACATGGCATATATACATATCATGTACATATCATTATGTACATACATAATAATATTATATTTGGATGTGTGTCAGATCTTAGATTATATTATCATACAAGATAAAATTATGTAAGCCATATATTCAGAATAAAAATTGATGATTTCATCGAACTATAGATATTTACAGGCTAACAAATAAACATATTAGAAGTCTATAATAAATATAACCGGACAAAATTAAGGTGGTGAATACTGGCAAAACAACAACGATGAGCATCTTATTTAAATAGCTATAGATTTATTAAAGTCTGGAGGACAAAAGACTAGGAATAAATTCTTATCTTATTACTTTACAATATGTTATATCTAATATGTATGTAGGTATCATTGTGTTTTAAAAACATGTTTTTTTCTCTATAAAGATACCATTTAATCATTTCATATTTAGACATGATAGCTGATTTATTGTATTGTACCGGGGCAAAAGGTATTCTACTGTTATAGAACTGGCTTTCGCACTATAAAATCGGATCGTTAACTGTCTGCTTTTTCGAGGGATTTCACTACGATACTACTAATAGATATATGTCCGTATGGTGACGGATTAAGAATATGGAATGTCACCACCCCTATTCATCCCGTGGGTGTCGTAAGAGCCAACTAAGGGTGCAAACTACCCAGGACAACACCACTGCAACGAGAAGAAAAACTTGACACAAACCCCATACCAATCGGTCTGGTCAGGCGTGGTAATAGTAGGCCTAAACGTCCTTTCTAAGGAGAGCCTATGTCCAGCAGTGGATTATTAAAGACTGTTGATAATGATGATGACTATTAATAGAAAACAATGTTGTTGGGCTATTCTAAACTACTTCAAATGCTAATAAACTCGCACTTGGCCCTCTGATGCTAAGTGACCACCTCCGCCCATGGACAACTCAACAGACACAAGTGCGATAAGGCGTTAGGGGAACATAGGTTGCACCAAGCTCATTTTAGGGTCGCTTAAATGTAACCTAATTTACAAAAATACATTAGAAGGCTAGATACGTCATGTTCTACCAATTACACGAACGCTTATGACATCAGCAGACGTAAATATGCAGTTGTACATAAAAATCTTGGCTGAAGTCCAACTGTATCAATAGTAACATTTAACGCAATATTATTGTTTTGAAATGTTGACTTCATTGACGGCCTGTATCTGTAGCTGGTATTTATTTATATAGGCAGTATGCAACTGCAGGACGTGACTATATCGGCAGATGTCACATTTCATTATAACAAGTTTTTATAAATACACTTGTTACTCATTTTTGAGACTATCCGAGATTGTTGTTGTACCTTGCTCATGCCACCGGAATACTACGTTTTTTGGGATAAAAATATATTTGCCCATTAATCCAGGGTGTTAGCTACCACCATACCAAATTTTATCAAAATTGGTCTAGCCCTTTAAGCATGAAGATGTAACACACATACAAACACACAAATTCACTACGTTCGCCTTTATAATATTAGTGTTTACGCGAAGCTATATATACAGCCTTTTTATTTTATTCATCAACAGAATCCACTGAACATAGGCCTCTCCTTAGAACGGAGGTTTTAGAATACCATACAGCGCTGCCCTAACGGTTTGGTATAGGGTTTGTTTCAAGTTTTCCTTCCCTTCGCAGTGCTGTTGTTCTGCGTAGTTTACTCCCTTAGTCGGCTCTTACGACACCCACGGGTTGAATAAGGGTGGTACACTCTGTATTCTTAATCCGACATCACACGGATAGGTAACTTTATTTTATTATGCGAGTAGAAACCGTAAGGATATTATCGGCAACGCATTTGACGGGCCTATTGGTCTAATGGTAAGTAACCCTGACTGCTAAGCCGGAGGTCGTGGATTCGATTCCCACCCAGGACAATTATTACTGTGATGAGCACGATCGTTTGTTCTGTGTCTGGGTGTAATTTATCTATAATATGTATGTATTTAGAAATATATAAGTATGTATTTAGAAATATATAAGTATGTTTATTAGCAGTCTAGTTACCATAGTATAATAGGCTTTGCCTAGTTTGGGATCAGACAGCCGCGTGAGATGTGTGAGGTTATTATCATTATTTTAATGTCTCTTGATTCACAGGTGTCCATGTGCGGTGGTAGTCACTTACCTTCCCACGACACCTTCCATATATTTGTCCCCTATAGCATAAAGAAAGTCATCCTTACCGATCATGAGTCAAATTATGTGAAGTGTGAATCGGGCTGAGTGTGACGTCAGACAGCGAAAGGTAGCGCTGTGAACTCGTTGACACCCGTTCATACTGACTGTTGATTTCATTCTGTAGACAAAAAAATAATTTTTCATGTTAATATTTTTTCTTTTTAAAAGACAACTCCCGCAGTTATCCCGTCCGTTCACGCATAATATATCCTGTGTCGCGGGGGACTTTACAGACATACATGAAATGGACACAAAGAGCACCCAGACTCAGAACAACAACTTGTGGATCATACAAAGTATCGTCCCATGTGGGGATCGAATCTACAACACTCAGCGCTGTAGTAAGCGGCGTGGCGACCGCTTAAACCACTACGCCATCAGTGCAGTCGTAAGTATCATAATAATAACTTGAGGCATCAGACACATGGCATAAATATGTACAGCTTATACTGTGCTCTTATCAGACTGTTGATAAAAGTAGTTGTAATACGTTTCTAAATATAATTTTATAGATAAACTAGCTGTCCTGACAGACGTTGTCAAAGCTCTTCTATACAAATAAATAAAATTGGAGTGTCTGTTTGTAATATTAAAATAACCGCTTTTTACTAAATGCATATGTATGTTTACACGGTACATATGCCAAAATAACATTTTTTTCCATTTTTGTCTGTCTGTCTGTCTGTTTGTTCCGGGTAATCTCTGGAAGGGCTGGACCGATTTCGACGGGACTTTCACTGGCAGATAGCTGATGACATAAGGAGTAACTTAGGCTACTTATTTAGACTAGCTTCCCCCGCGGCGTTGCCCGCGATTATAACAACAAACGCGGGTAACACCGCAGGTCTCACCTAGTTTTTGAATATAAATCATTCTTGAATCCATTTGAACACACACTAAAAATTTCATCAAAATCAGTCGCACCTATGACTGAACACTAAAGATCAGTAACCAATAGGCCAACAGGCCCGTCAACAGTGTACCTATATCAAATCCATACGAGTGAAGTTAGATAAACGATGATTTCGAAGATAGAATTCAATGTCAACATTTAATATTTTTACCATTATATCTCGACATAGTTAAGAAAAGTATTGAGAATTGTCCATGTGGTGACGTATTAAGAATGTGTCGTGTACGGAGTGTCACCAACCCTATTCATCCCATGGGTGTCGTAAGATTCGAGTAAGGGAGCAAACTACGCAGGACAACACTACTGCAAAGAGCAGTAAAACTTGACACAAACCCTAGACCAGCGTGGTATAGTAGACCAATACCTCCTTTCTAAGGCGAGGCCATGTCCAGCAGTAGACTAATATAGGCTAATGATGATGATTTGCAGCGAAAATATCTACCATGACGGTCAAACATCTAGTATCATTCGAATACGTATTTCCTACAAGGCATATGGCCTTAAGAGAGTCTTAATTTGTTACTATAATGTAACCGAACTTCCCTTTTATGTGCACCATCTCGTGCGTCTGGTTATCTGAATCAATTAAATGAGAATGCACCTGCTTTGAATCATCTGCATCTGAAGCTTTAACTGGACAGTACCACTTAAATATCATGTGCAGGTGTTGTAGATGTGACAAAATAATTACATTATAATTTAATGAAATTATGATTAACTTCTAAAAAAAATATTAACGTCTTCAATCCATACTAATATTATAAATGCGAGTGTGTTGTCTGTTCTCTGCGTGCTTAAACCGCTGAACTGATTTAGATAAAATTTGGAACAAAGATCGTCCGAGTCCCGGGAAGGACATAGGGTAGTTTTTATCCCGGCAATCATCCTTTAAGGGGGTGAAAAGGGAGGTGAAAGTTTGTATTGAGAATTAAGCTAGTGGTCTATATATCGTAATAAATTATAGCTTTTGCCCGTGGCTCCGCCCTCGTCGGTCATCGCGGTAAAAAGTAGCAGCAGTCTTTCCTCAAGAATCAAAGTATCTCCATGCCAAATTTTATTAATATCGGTCCAACGCTTTAGCCGTGAAAACGTAACAGACAGACAGAGTTACTTTTGCATTTATAATACACAATTTTTTAAAAATTTGAATCGGGCTAAAATGTAGGTATATAAAGGAGTTCTGAGGTAAATAATTTAAAAAAGTACAATCGAATCGTACAAAAAATCTACGTTTTTAGAAGTCTGTTAATAAAGATATTCTGTAACGAGTATTAGCGCGCTATTAGATGATAGCGGCTCATGACTGCCTATTGACGAAATATTCGAGGCTTAGTCCTAGACGTGATATAGTTAAGATATTTGTGAGTTGAATGAATTAGTTGTAAGTAAAAATAATCACCAAGTCACCGGTTCAATATACTTTTGTATAAGTAAAAGCTGCTTACGAATGGTCAAAAATTCAGTTGCCAATACCATAAACAGAACACAAATGATCTCTTAGAATTAGACCTCTTGTTTTGCTTGTTTCACAAGCATGACTTTTACTAAACATATTTGGTAATGAAGCAGGACTTTTGAAAATGCTATTCAGCAAATTAATTAAGGAACGGCATTGTTCCTTTGTTTTCAAAGAATATTTTTGTAACAGTTAGTACTTACGCTGATACCTACTGTGTTCAGTGATCACAACGTGCTAATTACATTTAACTAAGTATTTGTGTGAAACATGAGAATCTCCTCCACCGGGATTTACTTAACGCTTAATTTACGATTATACCGTTGTATATTGACGTTGAATGGCAAAAATTAGAATTAAGACATCGTATTAGTAGATGTCAAGGTTTCAAATATTTTTTAAATGTCATGTCATACAATCAGAAAAAGAATGGAATTAAATAAATCTGTTAAGATTTAGAAATACATTGATTTCTTTGAAATTAAATTAGATACGAGTTTAGTTATATTTTTTCGTCATTCGGAACATTTGTTTCTAGATGAAAGTTACCGTTGGCCCTTTACTGTATCCTTGCAACATGTACTTTAAATTTCATGATATTCAAATCTAAAGGGCATTTCAGCATATAGACTACGAATTATCAAAGATTTAAAAAAAGATTAGGGGATTTAGTTATTTCTAATAGTATGTAAACTAATATACTCTCTAATATTGCAAGATATTAATGTTTTTTGCTATGTTAATTTGAACCTTGAATATTTTTGGTCCAGATTAAATCGCAAACAAAAAACGTATCTCCTGTAAGAAATTGATCATTTAGTAGCGGGCTTTATAATAGATTTTTGTTTTTTTTTTATTATACTTGGTAAGTGATATGTGTACAAGATCGAAAGAACGAAGATTAGATTTACCGATGGTGAATTGGGAATGAGTGATCAATGAATGCAACACCGTGCATCAAGAAGGAGCGATATCCATCCCGACCAAGTAAAAAAATATTGGTAATAATAATATGACGACGTGCTATACGACAGCACAATAAAAAAACGTAAACGTTATGAATTCAATTGCAAAACATTACGATATAAATATTATTTATAGACATTATAACACGAAGAAGTGTGGACACCAAACTACAATCAATCAAAATCGTATCCAAGATCTGACGAAAGCCTTAAAAAATAAATCACACAGTCATTACTATGACATCATTGGTAACAGCGATGAAAGCAAAAAACATTCGGGTAATAACTTCTTGCACAGTGCTAATCAAACCGTGGCGGTTGGTTGTTAGCTGTCAGTCTCGGTGAATCATACCATAGGACTTTGACATTGAAACGAGGCAACTAAACAAGCTATTTGTCTAGCAAAATTTTAAACAAATACAATGTAAAACTAACAAGCGAAAATAAAAGATAATTCTTTTTGTAATAAAACAACTAATTATGTGCAAAGGGAAGGAAACATAACAAGTTTTTCTTTTTTGTAGGCAGCAGACAGGAACGGAGGTGACAGGTGTCAGCGACCTACATCGATTTGAGGTGGCATTTAGAGCAGTTCTGTACTATATAACTTGAAGGAAGAGACAATACGTCAAGCGTCTCAGAGAGAACACAAAGATTTGCGTTCCATAGACGATACTTGACGATAGTCGCGAGTCGAGGATTGCACAATACCACGCTGATACCAATACCAGGCGAATTTAACGTAGCGTAAAAAAATGTAAACATAAATTGCGCTTGAGGCCTGACACTGTCGCGGCACCAATTACCTGTCAAACAGAAAAATTTCACGAACCAAGGGCGATTTTCGTTGTTAATCTTTACAATTTAATAGTTTATAATACTATGTTTTTATGCTACAAATTCATGATGCAAATTAAATGACTCAATGTAGGAAATGTACCTGAGTGTTAAATTAACTTACCAATCCATTTTATATTTAAACGTTTTATTTACTTTTTACTTCACGCAAATGGATGGCGCCCGCCACTACAAGGCGGAGAAACACTCGAAGATTCAGTGGCCACAAATAGATTATACAACGGTTAGGTGACCATATTAAGTTAGTGCGGAAGCAGACAATTTCGATTACTTAACAAGTGCATAGAATAATTATAAGGAACTCTTACAATTAACTACATTTACATACACTATTAGGTATTGTTTTATATACTATGATAGCGACAGGAAAATCAACTTGAATAACCATTGTCGAGTGTCGATGTTATATGATGCAATGAATTTCAAGTTCAACGGGTTTGAAATAGTTTACTAAATATTCATGACATGTATATGTTTCGGCGGATACTTGTACTAATAACTTAGCTATGGATATACCATAGCTAAGTTATAAGAAGTTATTATATGTAAGTATAAAGGAGTTATAGAACAGAAAAACAGATATTAACTACGTAGGCTAAGTATGAATGGAATGGAATGGAATATAATCCATAACGCTGTAATAATACTATATCTAGTTTATAAATAATTTTAGTGAGGAAAAATGGCATAAAATATACACATATTGGAATCAATAAGGACCTTTACTAAACTTAATTAAGGCAAAATCTACTTTAATATGAAGGAAGTAAGGTTGTTCGCATAATGATTCCTATAATAAGTAGGTTATAACACTTTAAATATTCAAGTAACGTTCAAACTAATTTACGTGTCAAAAGTGAGATAATTTATGCATGCAACACACATGTAGGCTAATCATTAACCGACCTTGGACGTCCGAGTAAACA